GAAAACTCCGGTGTCATCCGAGAGGAAAACTCCTCTCCTCCCCACCCTCCCCAGAGCCCTTAAAGGGGTAGAGTCTGTTTGGCCACAGTGCTTGTGCCAGCTCCAAGACTGCCAGCCCAGAGCCAGCAGTCACCGTCTGTGACCCAGTTGCCTCAACATGAGCGAGGCAGCCAGTGCCAGCCAGCCCTCCACCGCTCCCCGGGACCAGTCTGCAAGCTCCCAGGAGCCTGCCAGGAGATGGAAAAAGCGGGCACCTTCCTGGTCCGGTGTGGAGATCATGGACCTGATCGAGGTTTGGGGAGAATCCTCCAATGTCCATAATCTCCACACTAGACAGAGGAATATGACCGTCTATAGGCAGATGGCTGCCAGCCTGGCCACCAAAAGCCACATGCAAAGCCAGGAACAGGTATGCATGAAAATAAAGGAGCTGCAGCAGGCTATTCCAGGGTCACAGTGGGCAGCTCCCAAGCAGGAGCAGACCCAGACTCCTGCCCGTATTTTGATGCCGTGGACCACATCCTGGGAGGCCAGATGGTCCGTGTCCCCTAGGTGGTCAACAACCCTGGGGCAGAGGGACCTGGACATGAGACCAAAGAGGAGGAGGAGGATTGCCAGGAGCTGCAGGAGCCTGAAGGGAGCGCGCCATGCACCCAGGACTCCCAAGCCATCCCAGTGAGCCTGTCGCCGGTGTCATCCGAGGCCGGGGAGGCAATGACATGTGAGTGCCAAAACTGTCCCCTTATGTGGCGGGGATGGGGAGGGGAGGAGAGGGAGACCACAGATCACCCCTGGGCACATTGCCCCAGCTGGCTGCCACTCAGGGGCCTTGGCCTATTACCCACATGTGTGTATGTATGAAGGCACATGACGTGCTCCTGACCCCGGGGTGGGACACTACACGATGCGCTCCCTCCACAAGTCCCCTCTACGCAGAGGCAGTGGACATTTCCCCTCCCCCCCCACACTATATACAGCACAGGTGCAGTCCTGGGCCAACTCCCACTCCCGGGGATAGCAGGACATGCCGAACATGGCCTGTGTGCAAGCACATCGGCTCCGACAGTGCAGAGACCTGCCGTCCTCGCCTTGCAGAGGGGGGCTGGGCTTCATCCACTGTGTTCCTAGGGAGAACTGACCACTTCTCTTGTTTCTCCACAGCTGCAGCAGCTGTGAATGCAGGGCGCACCACCCCGCCCAGGACATCCTCCCGCACCCGGGCCAGAAGGCTGACCCGTAACCAAGAGGAGTACCAGCGGCAGCACCTGGGGATCCTGTGAGGCCATCACCACACCCTGGACTACTGGGTGCATGAAGACATGCAGCTGCAGTGGGAGAGCTGGTGGGAGCTGCTTGATCAGGGCCATGCCATCTCTGACCACCTGCAGACCCTAATGCAGAGATTGCTGCCTCCTGCCTCTCCAGTCCCTTCTGCCACCCCAGCTACTGCTCCTCCTCCCACTCCTTCTCCCCCTCCCACTCCTTCTCCCCCTCCCACTGCTTCCCACCCCACCCTCCATATCTTCTCCACCCCCAGGGATGCCAAGGCCCCCACACCCGCAGTGCTGGGAGACAGGTGGACCAGCAAGACCCCCAACCCTGAGCTTCTCCTCCCCCTTACTGCCCTTGCCTCCCCCTTCCAGGTCCCTCCTCCCAGGTTTACCCCTTCCTTCTCCCACCCTCTCGCCTTCCCTCTCCCTCCCTCATTCCCCCCCACCCTAGTTTTGTTCAATAAACAGAGTTTGTTTTCATCCACACATGTCTTTATTGTACATCAGGAAGGAAGCTCTTATTCCCCCCCCCACCCCAGTTTTGTCCAGTAAACAGAGTTTGTTTTTGTCAACACATGTGTCTTTATTTACATGAGGAAAGATGTTTAGGGCGGGGTCAGTGAAAGGATACGAGGGTGAAATGAGGCACAAGCCCCCAGTGGGGCACACCAGGGAGACTTTAGTCCTCCTCTGGGTGGAAGCTCTCTTGCAGGGCCTCCTGGATGTGGACAGCCCCCCGATGGGCCTCCCGGCTGGTAACTGTGCGGGGCTGCGTGTACAGGCCAGCCAAGTGCTCGGTCTCTGCCATCCAGGCTGTAAGGAAAGCCTCCCCCTTCCTCTTGTGCAAATTATTCAGCATACAACACGCTGCCACCACGTGCGGAACATTCCGCTTGGAGAGGTCCAGGCGAGTGAGAAGGCATCTAAAACGGGCCTTTAACTGGCCGAATGCCCCCTCCATCATGATGCGGGCCCTGCCGAGCTTGGCATTAAAGGCCTGTCAGGAGAGGTTGAGGTGTCCCGTGTAAGGCTTCATCAGCCAGAGTTGTAGGGGATAGGCCATATCCCCCACCAGGTACACAGGGATGTCCACGTTCCCGACCCTGATATGGAGGTTGGGGAAGAAAGTCCTGGCGTGCAGCCTTTGGCACACGGAGTAGTTGCGGTAAACCTGTGCATCATGTGCTTTGCCAGACCAGCCCACGTTAATGTCCACGAAGTGGCCCCAGTGGTCAGACACAACCTGCAGGATGATGGAAAAGTATCCCTTCCAGTTTATGTACAGGGGCATGGATGGGGATGTGTGTCCCGTCGATTGCCCTCCCTCCCTGCAGTTGGGGAAGCCCAGGGCACCAAACTCCTCGATCACCGCATCCACATCAGTGAGGCGGATGACCTAGTGGAGCAGCACTCTTTTGATGGCCTTGACAACCTGCAGAGGGACACACAAAACCAAGAGTCACTGGGGTGCCAGGGTGGCTGAGAGTGCTCCTTCACCTGTGCTTTTTCCAATAGGGGTTTCTTGCACAAAAAACCCCTCTGACGCATCCACACTTGCCTTTTTGCACAATAGCTGTAGTGCAAAAGGGAGTTAGGTAAACTAGAAAGAGGTTTACCTAAGCCAGCAAAAGCTCTCTGGTCTGCTGTTTTACTGCTGATTTACTTGCACAAAAGCACATTTGAGGTGTGGACGCTCCACAGGTTTTTGCTCAAAAAACAGCCATTTTTGTGCAAAAAACCTTTAGTATAGACGTAGCCTCAGAGAACTAATAATCTTCATTGCTTTTGTAAAGACACATAATTTATTACCCCAATAAAATTAAAAGTAGAGACAATTACAAGAAAATAAAGGTGAAAATATACATTTAACAGTTTAATACTTAAATTAGCAAGGTCCAGGCTTTGCTCAAGAGGATTTCTCTCACCAATCTTCCTTCTTCCTAGCTGTGCCTGACTTTCCCTTAATCAGGACCTTCCACTGAAGCACAGGGAGATGATTTCCCTTGTCTTTCTAGGTGAAAGATCTTTACCTAAGCAGTTTTTCACTTATATTTGGTTTCCAGAGACTTCAATTCGTCTCCCGAGCCCCACAAATCCTTGGAAGAAGGATGCATCTTTCTCAGCTTTGGAGAGATCTGTTCCTTTATGTCTGTCTAGTGATGGATGCCAAGATAGCTTCTGTCTTTGCTTATGTCTTCAACAGTTCAATGACCTTGTTTTAAGAAACTTAAAAAACAGTGAATAGTCCTGCAGCTTCTTAGAGACTCACAAAAAATGTTGATAGTATCGTGAGCTTTCATTGGGAAAACTCACTTCTTCAGATAAACCTGAAGAAGTGGGTTGTGCACACGAAAGCTCATGATACCATCTACATTTGTTGTGATTCTCTAAGGTGCTGCAGGACAATTTGCTGTTTTTTTTTTAAGTGTAGACAGTTACAGACTAACATGGGTACCTCTCTGAATCTTTTGTTGAAAGAGACAGGATAACCACATACTGATTTTTCTTTCCCTTGCGCTTTACATCCCTCTGTATGTAATGGAGATTCTCATTGTTTTGATTCTACTCGTATAGGAGATAGGTCAATAATGGTACGTCTACACTGCCCAGCTATTTCAGGATACCTCCAGTCTATCCCATGTCTACACAAGCCGCCCATTATTTTGAAATATTTTTTGAAATAATGGGCGTGCTCTTTCACCATCCCAGTAAACCTCATTGCACGAGGTTAAGAGAAGCTTGAAATAGCGTGCTATTTTGAAATTTGGCACTTTGTAGATGCCCCAAATTTCAAAATAAGCTACCGTATATACTCGAGTATAAGTCGACCTGAATATAAGCCGAGGCACCTAATTTTACCACAAAGAACTGGGAAACAGTATTGACTCGAGTATAAGCCTAGGGTAGGAAATGAGGCAGCTACTGGTAAATGTAAAAAATGAAGATAGATACCAATAAAATTACATGAATATTTATTTCAAAGAAAAACAATAACCTAGCTCTGTAAGGGGAAAAGGGGGTCAACAAAAACAATATGGTTCTGCAGGCACAGCCACAGCTCAGCCCCCGCAGCCCCCGCGTTCCGGCCCCCTCGCCTGCCAACGAGCCCCCTCTAAACGAGCCAGCGGGGGGGGAGGCTGTGAGAGACCAGAGCTGGGCATCGATGGGCCAATGAGCCCG